TGTGATTCTGTGATTCTGTGATTCTGTTTTCACAGGATGTTACCTCATCGTCATTGAATGACCTGTTTACCTGCAGTGGGTGAAATCTGGGTTCTCTGGGAACACAGTCCAGTGCGTCAGCTTCTGGCAAGGCATAACCCCCTCTGCCTCTGCTGGCGCTTCCGAAAGCAAGCACCAAAATTCATTCCTCCTGGCATTTGTCTAGGAGCCTGCCTAGCACTGTTGTGTGTCCAAAAGCATCCTGATTGATAGAATCTAGCACCTTTATTTTAGGTACAGAATTGATCTAGTGCAGTACTTTTTTTTTCCTCTGAAGTCTGCACTGCATTGCAGTTATGCTCCAAACTCCTGAGAGATGGAAATGGCAGGACTCCTCAGCTGAAAGCAGTAGTGAAACTCTCATTCCAATCAAATTTGGCTAGCAGCTGAAAGCTTCTCTTCAGTTCATTTCAGCCTAGTAACAAGAGCGGGAGCAGGAACAAGCAGCAGGGCAGATTCGGCTGAAGAGACACCGAACCACACTGTATGTCCTGCCTTTTTTCAGACGGTCTCTCATTTTCAAGCCATGCTGCCTGGCAATATCAGTTCCTCCTGTGCAGCTTCCAGCAATGAGTGGACATGTGCGTAGACATTGAGTAGACAATGAGTGTAACATGCATTGTAATAATATGTTACTACACCCAAGTTTACCATAGCCCATGTTCACATCTACAACTGGAGTATTTATCTCTTGTGCAAATTGCCAAATGGAGTTTAAGATGATGTTTTGCACACCTCTTGGTCACAGGGAGATCTCCATTTGCAGCTGGCCACTTGATAGAAAATCCAGAGGATTCCTCCTTTGGTATTAATGCACAGTTTGGAATTCTGGCAGGCAACTCACTTGCTGAACAGCTTTACCCCAGCTGCAGCTCTGCTTGTATCCTCCATGAAAATATAACCCCCAGTGGTACCAGTAAGAGCTGGCATTTGGCTTGCTTTACAGACTAAAGCAAAGGAGAGTCTTAAGAGGTCTTACTCTGAACCTTTATACGAGCAAGGACCAATTCAGAACTGACCAGTCTTAGAGTGCCTTTGGGGAAGTTCATGTTTGCAAAATGCAAACAATGCTGTCTCCAGAAGGGAGGAAAGGAGAGGTAAAAGTTAAACTGCTTTTGTTTGGTTGGGTTTTTTTGTTTGGGGGCAGCTTTTATCTTTGGTCTCAGGTTGTGGGAAGTCTGTGTAACCCTTAAAACATATCAGCTAAAACAATACAGTTGTTTAAAACTTCACGGATATTTCAAAATGATCATTACAACTGCCCTGTTACCTGTGTTAAACTCCCCTAAAACTGACATTAGCAATTTATTAGAGTAATGCCGCTTGGTGTCTAATGCACGGGGACAACTACCTCATTAGGCATGCAAGAGAAGATGCAAGTCACTTACTTCAAAGCAAAAATTGTTAAAATAATACCACTCTTAACTGCTGACCTTTGCTCTAGAACTGTTCCCATTTTAAGAGATTATAGGCTTGCTGCCAAGCTAAAGCAAATCCCATCTTTGGAACTACATTAAGATCCTCTGCCTTTTTTTACTTTAAATACCTTGTCTAGCACTGGTACTTGAGCTAATGAAATACAAATTTCCAGATGTGAAACTCTGGGAAACATCTGACAATCTGACAAACTGCTGTAAACTCAAAATGCTAATTTGGGGATTAATTTATTCCCTCTACAGGTCGTTGGATAGTCTCATTTAAGACTTCTAATTAATATTTAACATTGCTATTTCAGATGTTGTTTATCTGGGTTAGATTTACTCGGCTGTTTTTTCCTTCTTGTCAGGAGCAGCAGTCTTTACAACAATAAATGCACGTCAATGCATTTGTTTCTAGAATGCCACTAAGTCTCTGACTTCTTTTTCATAGCTAACCAGGTGCTGAAGTTTGGAACGCTTGTCAGTACGTCCAACACCTATGACGACTCCGGCATTGTGACCATTGAGACGGACAAGCCTTTGCTGTGGACAATGGCTATCAAAAGATAAGATCAGCTACAGCTGCGTTTTCTGATCTGACTCAACCCAAATTACTGCAAACTTTCACTGGATTAAGACCGTTAAGCTGTTCCAAAAGATATAAGCAAGCACTGTTTTTACGTACCGAATGGAAAACAAGTCTGAAATAAAAGTCACTTGAGATCAAATCAAGATTAGTAGCAAGAATTGAGTACTTCATTCTGGTACCTCACACTCCTTAATCAGAAGACATGTGAGCTGCCGTCCAATACAGTTACAAACAGAAGTGAATGTAAAGAAACTGCTCCTGCTTATATATCTGGTTAGTTGAGACTATTTTTACAAAGTATTTTATTCCAAGACTGAACTATTTTTTTTTTTTTTGCCAAAAGGAAATAGAGTACACAGTGCTATCACCTTTTGATATAGTCACACTATGCGCAGCTAAAAGTAGTTAATCTCATTTTTCTGTCCTGGTTTGTAACAACTGTAGGTGGTACTGAAGATTTCTCAGGAAGAGTAATAATTGAACTTTTCTACTCATGAAGCAAGTTTGTGTACTGAAGAACCATCAGTTTTGCTGTACTACCACTATCAGATTTACCAATATTAAAGTGCTTTTAAAGTCTGTAATAGAAGTAGCATTGTAACTTCTGCAAATACCAAATGCTTACCATAAGCTTTTTTGGAGGGAAATAAAAATTTAATCTCAATCTGACGTGGAAGAGCATTGCATCTACCGGAGTTTTTGCAGGCTTAGTTTTTAAAATCAAAATATGCAATCATTTAATAATGGAAACTTCCAGGTCAACAAATGCAGAGCCCTTTATAACTCTGTATGCACTTGCCTTGCAGAACCAGTACCCACCACGGTTGTGGATCTTGTCCAACAGTGTGAGCAAGTTGTTGATTTGCCAAAGGACTGCTTAGTAACTCTGGCAACTAAATTAACCTCAAACTGTATATCTTAGTAACCGGCTACATTTGTCTTTAATTATGCCATCAGAATAAAGATTGGTAATGCAAGTTCTTTATTTGATGGAGTTTTTTTTCCAGTCAGATACATAATATAACCTAACAGGACTTCCAAATGCATAAAGGAATTAGGGGTAACGATGGGGATTCCAAAAGTCAGTGACAAGAATTCCAGTCAATGCACTTTTACATGATCACTTGAGAGGATACAGTAATGCTGTTTTCTTGCTGCCAGCTTTTGGTGGAACAATGCTGTTTACTAAGCAGTAAATTAAGCATTGGGACAGCTTCTGAAGAGGGGCTATACAGTTGTCACCCTTGGAGGTTTTCAGTACTCAACTAGACAAAGCCCTAAGCAACCTCATCAGAATGCAACACTGACCCAGCTTTGAGCAGGAGATTGGACTAGAGCCCTCCCAAGGTTCCTTCCCACCTCAATGATTTGATTATGGTTGAAAGAAGTAACAAAAACAAAACAAACAAAAAACCAAAACACTCTACTACTGCTAAAAAAACAAACAAGCCTGTAATGTAGACATGTACGATCACACTTAGAACAGGAACACAATGACAAGAATGTTTGAAAACCCAAACTGAGCCTGTTTAATAGCGAACAAGTTACAAAGCTGGGAAATCTTTGCAGCAAGTGTCACAATGTCTTGGTCTTCATGACAAATATTCAGCCGCCTCTGTTGAGAGAACAAAGTAATCAGTTTCAACTAATCAAGTGTGATCAAGTGATCCCATCTGAAGTCTAATTTATCCTCCCACTATTGCCTTTTTAGGACAAACATTACTACCATTACAGCTTGTCTACTATTTTCAAACATTTCTCCTTGCCTAGAGGACCACTCTTACAGGTACAAGCAAGCCACATCTCATGGTCAGAGAATAGTATTGAACCTGTTCCAGTGATAGAAAAGGGATTACATCAGCTCTGGAGACTCTGAGGAGTTTTAATTGGTAGTGTTAATAAGTCTGTATCACAGCTGCTAGTCAACTTAAGGCTGAAGTTTTTCATGCTGCAAGGTTCATTCCAAAAAGTATTTTACAGAATGTAGTTACATGTAAAACAAAGTTTCAAACATAGCTGGCACTTAGTGAGAGAAACAAGACCAACTTTGTTCTGTACCCTGTCATCTTCCAGCGTAATTACTCCATTTTCTCTACCTTACCCTCCATGCATTTATTTTACCCAAATCATCAACTGGAAACAGTAAGAGTATGTAAGTTACAACCAAGGTAAATGTTCTATGGATAAACACACACTGAAGGAACTGGAAATCAAAATATTTGATGTTCAGTTTTGAAGCAGAATACTTGAAAATTAAGAACTACAGATCTAATATTTTGCAGCATGCTAAATGAATGATCTACTTCTGGATCAAGCCCTTTGAATCAAATAATACCTGACATATTACATTACATTGTGAAATGCACAGATACTAAAGCAACGTGGATGCTGTAGAGCTCGCTAACGTTCTGTTTCAAATTGAACAGGTGAAAATGAAGGTAAAACTTAGTGAACTTGAAGGTTCATATTTACTTACACAATGATATTGTTGATTGGGATATGGATCAATTTGACAAAGAAACCAATAAATCCCATTATCGCAAAGCCTATTGCTGTTGCCATGGCAATCTTCTGGAACTCTGCAAAACAAAAAAAAAAAGTTTAGGAAGCCTTGTGTATAGCATACAGGAGACGTGCACTACAGTGACGAAAGGAGAGATTTCTCTTTAGAAAATGGTAATGTTAACACATGAAGCAGTTCAAAAGCAAACTGCGTTCATGTTAAGAAAAAAAATCCCCTTTTTCAGAAGACAGATGAAGAAGAGAAGATGCTGCTTTCCACAAAGCATGGCTGATCTCGATTTTTGTAAGCAGTAAGCAGAATCAGAAATACCCACAACTAAGAGAAGGTTTAATCCATTATCTTTCCTTCCTATCCATACAAGCCCTGAAAATAATCCCCAATACAGTATCAAAAATGGAAACGCTGCATTTATGTTTGTCAGAGGAAGACAGTATCTTAAGTCCCCACAAAAATCGAGTACTTAAGTGATATTCTCAATTATTCTCAGACAGGAACCGTGAAGTGGACTAAGGAAGTCAACAGCCCCTCGCAACCCTGCCGGTCCAACAATGAACGAAATTCCTTACTGATCTCAAAAGATGCCAGTAGACTTCATCATGAGCATGTGAATAAAGCATCACAACTACTACCATTAAGGACAACCAGTTACAATTCTAGTTAGTTACAGCTTCTCTCTAATGCCTTTGAGAAAGTCCAAAAACCTTTTCTTCTGTACTTCCAGCAACAAAGTTCTTCCTGTCCCCCTCAGGCAGTCACTGACAACTGTGAAGTACTGAATGGGCACTACAAAAAGCAGTCTTAGCTCCTTTTGAGTCTCCTAAAATTAAGTGTTTCCTCCAAGGTCACATAACAAGCAGTTTCCTTCAGAATTTCCCCCCAGATGACTGCAATCAATCAAACTTGACTATTGCATTTCTTTCCAAAATGCACAAAACTTCTTCTCAGATCAGTTTACCTAATACATGAAAATCATTACTTGCCTGTCTCAAAATGACTAATTTCAGCTACATAGCCTCTTTCATTAGGTGAGTTTTAGTACCACTCACACACCTGATCGAGTACATACCGGAAGATGACAGGTTCAAGTTTATTATATCCAGAACCATACACCCATTAACATTTGGACAACTGCGCAAGTTTAAATCTCATATTGGAAGCTGAGAAACATTCATGACAAATAAGTCACATATGGAGAGATACACGGTAAATAAGATTAAATAAGGATTGTGTTCTGGCTTATTGTGTGCTTTACCTTTCCTGTCAGGCTTGGTGCATCTTTTAACCAGTCGTATGGAGTCTTTTACAAACTGACGGCTGGGTTCCACAAATTGCATTACCTGATCCATGATTACCTGCAAAGACGAACATATTTAGTATTGGTGATGCCACGTATACTCTGAATTTTTTTAATTACAGAAGCAGAAGGAGCAGTTACCTACAAAATTTATAAAGGCTTAATGATAACTTAAAATATCCTATTCCAACCTAACTGGACTTTCAGAGATACTTTGCAAAAAAATAAAGACACTATGTCAATATATAAATAAAAACCCCCCCCCCCCCAAAAAAAAAAAAAAAAAAAAAGAAAAATTATGTCTTTCGGCATAGAAGAGGAAAACAGGTCCACCACAGGTTGCTTTCAGCTTACATCCTACTCTGTGTTTCTGAGAAAACTATTGAAGACTTCTAGACAGACAGGAGCCACCCGTTCCAGGAACTGCCCGAGCCCAAAGCCTAAGGAAGGCTGGCGGGCACTGAAAGCAATCCCACGGCCTCGTGTCATTCTCAAACCACGCACCTGCCACCCGGGCAGGACAGCAGCCCGCAGGGTCCTTACCCTGCACAGACCCTCCGCGGCGCGGCTCCCTCATACCACCCCCCTCC